GATACATTGCTATAGGAATGTAAAATAGTACACACACTTTGGAAAAACAGTTTAGCAGTCCCTCACAATGCTAAACACAGAGATACCATACAGCCTAGAAATTCCTCCTAGGTACATATTCAGCAAAAAAATTTTGTACCGATACAAAAACTAGAATACAAATGGCCATGGCAGCATTGTTCCACAGCTCCAAAATGGAAACAACCTAAATGTCCATAAACTGATGAACAAATAAAATGTAGTATATCCACACAATGAATTTATTATTCATCGATAAAAAGAAATTAAGTGCCGATAACATGCTACCACATAGATGAACCTTGAAAACATTAAATTACCAAAAAACACATATTGTATGATTCCATTTATATAAAATGTTCAGATGTCCAGAACAGCCAAATCCATAAAGAAAAGTAGTGATTGCCTAGGAGGGAGAGGGAACAGAATGAAGAGACCACTAATGGGTACAGGGTTTCTTTTTGAGGTAATGAAAATTTTCTAAACTTAGGTTGTGGTGATTGCTGCACAACTCTGTGAATATACATACCGAAAAACATTTAATTGTACACTTGAAATGGGTAAGTTGTATGATACAGTAATTATACCTCAATATAGCTGTTTTTTAAATGGCAGTGTATTTCACTATTAAATTTTAAGTTTGAGGTCAGGCACGGTGGCTCACGCCTGTAATCCTAGCACTTTGGGAGGCCAAGGCAGGCAGATCACGAGGTCAGGAGTTTGAGACCAGCCTGACCAACATGGTGAAACCCTGTCTTTACAAAAATACAAGAAATTAACCGGCATGGTGATACGTGCCTGTACTCCCAGCTACTCAGGAGGCTGAGGTGAGAGAATTGCTTGAACCTGGGAGGCGGAAGTTGTCGTAAGCCGAGATCGTGCCACTGCACTCTGGCCTGGGCAACAGAATGAGACTCAGTCCCAAAAAAAAAAAAAAAATTTTAAGTTTGAAAACAAAATCTTAAATAACAATTAGACTGAACGTTAATTGCTATTACCCAAAGTACAAAGTGAAGAAATGACTTCTGAGTAAGTGATATAAAGGAAGAGTAGAGATACAGGGATGGGATTTGAAAAATGAAAAGAGAGAGCTATTGTCCATGATCTGTGATCAAAAATTTAGTATTTATAACACAAAACAGGAATCAATGCTATTTTAAAAACAGGACAGGTTTTAACACCTTATATGCCTCTTTCCAAAATTAGGACTCACAGATAACAAAATGATTTTTAAGATAAAGACAAAGAAAGAGATAGCTACTTTCCTGAAAGAACTTGCTAGGCAACAGCCTCGCCATGTGTGGATATGCTTGGGCCTTTCAGAATTACAATGAAAAAGAAGAGGTGGTATACCTTATGATATATGGGAATGTACAGTGCAAAACTGAAATAATAATAGTAATATAATGAAAAAGTCAAGCCACTGTGACTCCTCAAACAAAAAAGGAGTTAAGACTGGAAAAATAATCTAGTATCAAAGCAAAGAAAGAAAGCAAGTAATGATACACAAATAATAGCTGGCAAAGTGAAGAGTCTGGTCAGGCAAGATAGCCAAGAGGATTTTTTCGAAGAGCAGATATTTTAGGGATGGATATACTAATCTAATATCTGCTCTCAATTTACTTTGCTCTTTGGTTTCTCTTCAGCTAGAAAACCTATCTCAGGAACAGTTAAGAATCTGGTGCCTTTACAATGTTACCTCAAAAGATGCAAGGAAGAGGAAAGACATAATATGAAGAGGAGTAGAGAAGTTTGAGATTTACAGTTGAGTAGTTAAGGCAAGAGAGCCACTGTCTTAATCAAAGCTGTTTAATGATAGTGATGAAAAACAGGAGATAATGACAATCGAGGCACATCCCAAGTAAGGCACAGGATCTGAAACATCAAGTCTGTGCATGCTGCTGCCTCTGAACGGAATAAGGAGAAAAGGTGAGATCATCCCCTATGAATATGGGTAGGGACAGCTACAGTAAAGACAAAGACAGTGGGTACTCCTTGTATTCTAGGATGTTCGAGTGAATGAACCCTGGGTCTGATAGTAAAATTTAGTGTAATCTGCTTTAAAAAAAAAAGGTTGAGACCAAAAATGAAAAGCTCATGATAATCACATAGAAAGTCAAGAAAAGCAACTAAAACTGGTAGTGAGTCTCAGACTTTTTTTTAACAGTGTCCCCTTAGGGCAAAAGATCTCTTAATCTATCTCCCTATACAAAATCCCACTTTTCAGTGGAAAAAAATCTCAATAATAACAATGAAACAAGTTTTAGGGAGCCTGGGTAACTTATTTTTAAATCGTAATGTATACACAGTTGACCCTCTGTATCTGCAGGTTCAACCAACCTCTCAAATCAAAGTTTTTTCCAAAAAAAAAAAAAATTGGACAGTTGGACAGTGGCTGGCCACAGTGGCTCTTGCCTGTCATCCCAGCACTTTGGAAGGCTAACGCAGGTGGATTGCTTGAATCCAAGAATTCAAGTCCAGCCTGGGCAACATGGTGAACCCCATCTCTACATATACTATAAGAAAGTCGCCAGGTATGGTGGCATATGCCTGTAGTCCCAGCTACTCAGGAAGCTGAGGTGGGAGAATCACCAGGAGGTTGAGGCTGAAGTGAGCAGTGACTGCAGTGACTGTGCCACTGCACTCCAACCTGAGCAACAGATTGGGACCCTGTCTCAAAAAAAAGGATGGTTGCATCTGTACTAAACATGCTACAGACATATGTCTTGTCATTATTACCTAAACAATACAGTATAACATATATTTACATGGCATTTACATTATATTAGGTATTATAAGTAATCTAGAGATGATTTGAAAAGTGTGTAGGATCACTGACCCTTACAAGCTGAAGAAAATGGGAAGTGAGAGAAGCACAATGGTCCTGATCATAAGGCAATGGGGGTTGGTGGAGAGACAGGCAACTGTGTGGAAAGAACTGCTCCAAAAACGGGAGCTAAAAGTCACTTTAAAGGAACAAAGGGGCCAAGCACAGTGGCTCATGCCTGTAATCCCAACACTTTGGGAGGCTAAGGTGGGAGGATCATTTGACCCTAAGAGTTTAAGACCAGCCTGGGCAACACAGCAAAATCCCATCTCAAGCCAGGTGTGGTGGTGGTGCACAGCTGTAGTCTCAACTACTCGGGAGGCTTAGGTGGGAGGATCTGAGCTCAGGAGGTCAAGGCTGCAGTGAGCTACGATCACATCACTGCACTGCAGCCTAGGAGACAGAGGAAGACTTTATCTCAATAAAATGAATATTAGGTGGTTTTTGCCATTACTTTTCATAAATAAAGAGACAAAAGGCAAACTACTAAGGATAGCTATGACCCGAGGTGGTACTGGAAGAAATGTGCTAACAATGTGTCCTTGAGAAGGAAACTTTGAAGATGGAGATGAGGAGTAGTGTTCAGCCTGCTCTCCTTCAATTAGTCTTTGCTGGGTCAACTCACTCCATGAAAACGCAAGGAGTGAGTAATAACTTTTCTGATGGGAGGTGCAGTGACCCAAGACTGCAAGAAGGGTAAGATAGTTAAGATAGTTATCTATGTATTGGCCCCATGGAGATCAGAATACACAACAGATGAGTCTGTTTTGTTCTAGAACACCAGCAACATGAGGGGAAAGGGGAAAGTAGTTCAAAACTGGACTTAGCCTGGGCGTGGTGGCTCACACCTGTAATCCCAGCACTTTGGTGGGTGGGTGGATCACCTGAGGTCAAGGGTTCGAGACCATTCTAGCCAAATGGTGAAACCTCGTATTTACTAAAAATACAAAATTATCCGGGCGTGGTGGCATGCACCTGTGATCCCAGCTACTCGGGAGGCTGAGGGAGGAGACTCGCTTGAACCTGGGAAGCGGAGGTTGCAGTGAGCCAGGATCGCGCCACTGCACTCCAGCCTGGGCAATAAGAGCAAAATTCCGTCTCAAAAAAAAACAAAACAACAACAACAAAAAAAAAAAACTGGGCTTAGTGAGTAATTATCAACAGGAAGTTGGGGTAGCCGGTAATCCCCAGCTGAGGCAGAACAACAGTGGCTAAGTGTCTGGCTCCAGGCTACCCGATCAGGAATCTGAGTCCCCACTTGATTTTTTCTGTGACCTTGGGCAAGTCACTTAACCTCTCTGTGCCCCATCTGTAAAAGGAGAGTAATAGAACCTACCTAATACGGTTGTTTTGTGGCTTAAATAAGTTACATTTGTAAATCACTTTATACGTCTTGAGCTTTATGTAACAAGTGCTACCTAAATTTGTTAAATAAGTTGAGGTAAGTCGGGATTTCTTTTGACATCTCCAAATAAAATGGAGATGTGACTGCAAAAAAAAAAAAAAAAAGTGGTAACTAGGGGCAGCAGCAGGGTCAATTTTCCCCAGCAATGAGGAAGCTGCACCGTGGGCGAGGGTCGTCCCGGTAACAGGAAAGCAGGGATAAAGGAACAGCTGCTCCTAGGAGAGGGGCGCGGGTTGGGGGAACTTCCATCCAGGCCTAGGATTTTCAGGGACTCGTTTCTGAGAAGCGGCTGTGATTCTAAGCCAAGACTTTGATTTCGAGCACCAGACCGTGGAGTGAAATTCTGTGTTGTCTGAAGAGCAGGACTCCTGTCTAGGACAGGACGGAGTTGGAGTCGGAGGGAGAAGCGTTATGTCCCGGGGGAAGACATGCCGAGAGCCACCACCATCTGTCGGGTGCCCTCTCGTTCCCCAGCGCCAGGCCAGCCTCGGAGGGAGAACGAAGGCTGCTCTAGCCCGGAGGGAGGCAGCGGGAGCCTCCTGAGTCACTGGGCGGTGGAGCGCCGTGAAGGGACCCCGCGTCGGGGCTGCGAAGGGAGACCCGCCTCGCCCGGGACGCAGGGTCTCTCCGAAGGGAGGGGCCGGCGCCGGCCCTGGGGAAGCCGGCCGGAGTCCCGACCCACAGGAGCCTGCCTCGTCCCGCCCGTTCCCGCCCGTTCCCGCCCGTCGGTGGCCCCGGCACACGGGGTACCTGAGCGTGGGCCCGATGCAGGCCGTGTCAGTGCTCTCGATCTCTCGCAGGATCCGCTCGTGCTCTGCTGCTGTCTCCAGACTCTCCGCCTCCGCCATCTTACCCCGCTCCATAGACTGGGGGCGCCCCACAGCGCGTCCCCTCCGTCGGCTCGGCTCACCTTTTAGCTGCCCCACACTCCCTCTCCCACCCCAGGCTCCACAGCCGTCCCAGCCTCTGGCTACCCGCAGGCCGACCCCTCCCTCAGGCTCGGCACGCCCCCTTGCGTCACCGCGTCCGTCAGCGTTCTGCGCAAAGTCCGCTGGGATTTGCAGTTCTTTGGGAAATACTAGCTTGGATTCCGTTCATTTATGCATTGAATCCACAAATACTTGTTGAAAGCCCACTATAAGCTAAAAACAGTTAACAACACTGCGTAAACAGTGATGATCAAGGCAGGCAGTGGCACTAAGCCTACAAATTCTTGTTAACCACCTTTGCCACAAAGTGCAAAGTCTCTGTAGGTGCAAATAATAAAGACTAACTTAATGTCTGACAGAGGCCTTACAATCTAGAGGGGGAGACGACGAGCTGGAGAATTCAAAACTGTGTGCTGTAAATCACTTCAGAGAATGGAGTTCAGGGATCTCTTCTGGTTGCCAAGGGTTCATAAAGAGACTGCGTTTCGAAGGTTAAAAGGCATAACTGGAAGCTGTGAGGAGAACCCAGACAGCCAAAAAGAATTTCATTTGCACTGACCTGTAAAGAAGTAGTAGTAAGGGATGGGTCTGGAAAGGTATGTTGGAGAGAAATTGTGAGGAGCCTTAAATACTGGTCTGAGAAATGTGAACTCTGTTCTAATGGTTCCACTGATCCAACAACAAACTGCAACAGATGCACCTGGAAACATTATTTTTTTAATACAGACTGATTAACAGTCGTACATATGGAGGTTCTGATCCAGGAATCTGCATTTCATAAACTCACCAGTTACAATCTAAAAATCAGATTTATTGATGAGTGCTTGAGTTTTTGCATAACATAATGAATGGGAAGCCATGGAAGGTTTTTAAGAGGAGTGACACAATCAGGAAATTTGGTGAAGAGCAAGCATACAAGATGTGCAGAGATAGAGAATCTGGAGATAGGAAAACACTATAGGAGATGATAAAGCCTAAACCAGGGAAGCAGCAATGAGAATGAAAAAGAATGAACAAGTAGGAAAAACCTCAAAAAGGGAGAATTGCCAAGATTTACTAGATACCAAGAAGGAGGCCGGATATTACTCCAAGGTTTAGTACTAGAGTAACTAATAGAAGAGGGTTTCCACTGACAAAAAAAAATGGCATGTGAGAAGAACCAAACTGGAAGTTTAGGCTAAATAATTTGTGCTACAACCATACTATAGACCATTACGCAATCATTAAAAAGCAAGACAAAAGACTCTACAGTCATACATGAAGCTGTCTCCAGGCTGTAGTGTTGAGTGGAAAAAAGCAAGGCATGAAACAATATATAAACTCTGTCCTCATTTGCTTTTTAAAAGAATAAATACTTTGGGAGGCCGAGGCGAGTGAATCACAAAGTCAAGAGATTGAGACCATACTGGCCAACACAGTGAAACCCCATCTCTACTAAAACATAAAAATTAGCTGGGCTTGGTGGCACGCGTCTGTAGTCCCAGCTACTCGGGAGGCTGAGGCAGGAAAATTGCTTGAACCCGGGAGGCGAAGGTTGCAGTGAGCCAAGATCGCACCACTGCACTCCAGCCTGGTGCCTGGCGACAGAGCGAGACTCTGTCTCAAAAAAATAATAATAATAATAAATATTCACTTATATGCTTTGATATACACATACATATACATAATATTACATATAATATTTCTGAAAAGATGACCAAAATAATGTTAACAGTAGTGGCAGCCAGGAAAAAAATTGGAAAGGAGTGGTCTGAAGTAGAAAGAAGGTATTTTTAATTATCTATCATTTGCACTCTTGAAATTATTTTCCTTGTGCATGCATTGCTTTTTTTTTTTTTTCCTGAGATGGAGTCTCACTCTGTCACCCAGGCTGGAATGCAATGGCACGATATCGCCTCACTGCAAACTCCACCTCCCAGGTTCAAGCAATTCTTTGCCTCAGCCTCCTGAGGAGCTGTGATTACAGGCGCCCGCCACCACACAAGGCTAATTTTTGTATTTTTAGTAGAGACGGTGTTTCACCATCTTGGCAAGGCTGGTCTTGAACTCCTGACCCTGCGATCCACCCACCTCAGCCTCCCAAAGTGCTGAGATTACAGGCGTGACCCACCGTGCCTGGCCGCACTGCTTTTTAAATAAAAATAGTAGTTATTAACCAAAAACACATTTAAAAAATAAACCAGTAGTGAGAAGAATGGGTTTGCCCATTCCTGGTTTGCCAGGAAGAGAGAAAGTTGATAAACCTGTTTCCAGATAATCTCTGACTGTCCTTGTTTTGTTCCATTACTCATGTTTAAACAATTCCAAACAGATGTAGGAGGGGTAGGGAGAGTACAGACTTTTGTATTCCTAAAGCTCTCTTGAAATACATGACGGAGGGTCCCTTCAGACACCCATTTTAGCATCTCACTCAGCAAAATTTTCACCCATCACAGGAAGCAGGCCGCTGCATAGATGAGATATGTTCAGTAGTGGTTAAACTAGCTTCTGCTACTGTCAGCAGTTCTTGTGAGCCTCCACGAGGCCAGAGGCCACATATCTTAGCAACAGGGAATGAGTCTGGAGTAAGCAGTATTGGAACCCTCCAGTGAAGATGACCTGTCTAATGTTAATGTCCTGCAAATAGAAAGAATGTGAGTCCCATTGATTCAGTTCCAGCACTGGTGGTTAAAATGTATTGAGCAGGCTGGGCACGGTGGCTCATGCTTGTAATTCCAGCACTTTGGGAGGCAGGTGAATCTCTTGAGATCAAGAGTTTGAAATCAGCCTGGCCAACATGATGAAACCACGTCTCTACTAAAAATATAAAAATTAGCTGGGTGTGGTGGCAGGTGCCTGTAATCCCAGCTACTCAGGAGGCTGAGGCAGGAGAATCACTTGAACCTGGTAGGCGGAGGTTGCGGTGAGCTGAGATCACACCATTGCACTCCTGCCTGGGTAACAGAGTGAGACTCCACCTCGAAAACAAACAAAAAATGTATTGAGCACTTTCTGTGTGGCAGTCACAATATACAAAGTAAGTACTTCATATACATCAACCTCATTAAATTCTTACAACAATCCTTTGCAATAAACATCACGTGTCCCATTTTACAAATGAGAAAGGTGAAATATTAGGCAGCACCCCACATCTCATATACAGTAAGTAATGAAGCTGATATTCAAAGCAGGTCCATCTGATTCAAAGGCCGATTTCCTAACCAGTAACCTATGCTGCCCCACCCAGGCCCTCGTGGCCAGGAGTTTATTGTGTGATCATTCTGCCACTCTGCCTCAGTTTCTACATTAATATAATGGATTGTATCCTTTCCAAGACCTCTTCACAAAACCACATCCCTCCGCTTACCTAGAATGAACTGGTTGTTTTCTCTTCTCCCGCATCAGTAGATAGGTGGCATCAGCATTCTCACTGCTCTCCACCGCCACGTTTAGGCTGTTACAACACCCTGATTCCCCAACTCTCCTTTGAAGTCTAGGGAATCAGGTTGTGCCATAATTGTCTACTAATGTCCTTATTCCTTGGAAATGTTACCTCTCGGATCACAGTGATAGGGACAGGAGGCAGGGAAATTCTGGACAGAAGAGAGCAGGTCCCCAGGAAGGGCCCCACCCTCAAGCCTGGAACCAAAGTGAGAACATATAACCCTGTTTTCCTGCTCAAATGTTGCCTTTTCCAAAACCACACATGGCCCACCTCACCCCGCATCCTGTGTCCATAAAAACCCCAGGCTCAACCAGCAGAGAGGAGAAGCAGCTAAACATCAGAGACTATGGTTGAACATTGGAGATAAGGGGCTTGACTTCAAAGGGATAACTTGACAGAGTAGCTCTGAGGAAAGATTACCTTCCCACTCTATCCCCTTTACAGCTCCCCTTCCCACTGACAGCTACCTTCATCAGCAATAAAATCCCCCACATTTACCATCTTCAACTCTGTGTGACCTCATTCCTCCTGGATGCCAGGTGCAGGTGCAAAAGTCTGTCATACTGACCTTCCTCTGAGCTGCTAACACTTAAGCTGTCCATGGATGGCAAACTAAAAGGGCACTGCAACACTTCCTCTGGGGCTTCATGGGTCATGGGCACCCTCCCCTAGACAATGCTACAGGGCCAGTATGGAGTTGGGTCTTGCTGGCACCCAAAAGTTCTTCCCCTAGCTCCTGCACCCATTCACCTGCACTCTCCTTCCCACAAGCGGAGGAGCAGCAAGTGAGTGGAGTTCGCCCCTGCCAGTGCTGGTACACTCCAGTTCCCACCCTTGAAAGGGTCAGGAAAATTTCCTTCTTCAACAGCTTTTCTCTCCACCCTGTTCCTTATCATCATTCTGAGGAACTTCAACATCAGGACTATGCATGCTGACCACTCTGGTTTCACGGATCAATCCCAACTATCCCAGCCATTTTCCTGGTGCCACAGAAGCAATCCATTCGTGGCTTTACCTTTTAGCTTAATACAGTAAGTCCTCACTTAAAATCACCAATAGGTTCTCGGAAACTGAAACTTAAGGCATGACTGTGTATAATGAACCAATTTTACCACAGTTCATTGATATAGACAAGAGTTAAGTTCCTACGGCCTATTTCTGGTCTCAAAAACATTACCAAACTTCTAAATAAACACCAAAATACTGCCACTGTTAAATACTGAAATAAGAGCTAGACATACATTTTTAAAAGATTAATAAAAACAAGATAATGATTTACCCATTTTTTTGGGGGTGAACCAGTGAGTGACAGCAGTTGTAGGGGTGGTGGGTTACATCCAGGAATACATGTTTACAATGCAAAAATTATAAGGAGTACTTCCCACCCAAGGTTCAAAAACAATCACTGAAGGCTTTAGTGCAGCATTATTTATTGTTGTACACCAAATGATTAACAGATACTTTAGAATGTCTTCTTGTACAATAAGTGTATTCATTCATTTTCCAATTCACTTATGCCAATTCAGGGTTGCAGGTGGCCAGAGCCTATCCCAACAGCTCAGGATGTAAGATAGGCACCAACCCTGGAAAGAATGCCATTTGGTGGCAGGGTGTACTCACACACATACCCACACTCACTCAGACAGGA